TGTGTGTGTGTGTGTGTGTGTGTGTGTGGTGAGGGAGGGAGAGAGAGAGAGAGAGTGTGTGTGTTCATAGGGCGAGTCCCACAAGCACACCCTGCCATACATGCAGACCCACATCCCCTCACACACCCCAGCCACACTCCCCCATACACACCTCCCCACAAACCCCATACCTACCTACACCCCACATATCCACCCACAACCCCACACCTATCTGCCGCACAAACCCCCCACACATCCACACCCACACCCTCCCCACACCCTCATACCCACAGTTCCCCACAAACCTATACCCAGGACTGTCCCTGGGGGGTGAATTGGGGTGACCACCCTGGTCCCCATGCTTGGGGGGGCCCCGTGGAGCCCGGCGGAGTGGCTGCGACCCCTCCTGCAGGGCCCACCTAGTGTGCTGGTGACTCCACCACTGGCTTCACATAGTGGAGCAAACAGGGGATGGGACACCTGTCAGGTGGTCGGGCTACTCACGTGGCCCTTGACAGCTTGCCAAACTTGGTAAGTGACCCTCCACCTGAAATAATTGCCTGCCCCTGTTCTAAAGCATACTAGCACAATACAGTTCTGAGTTTCTGACAATGATAGAGAATGATTGCATTCCTCTATGTAGCCAGGGCCTGTTCCAAAGAAGTCATTGGAAAGATTTCTATGAGCTGTGGATCATTTCTACGGAGACTTCACATGGAAATTGATTTAAAAAGTCATTGGTGAAAACATTTCAGTTCATAGTAAACTCTAAAATCAATGTAATGTGTGATTTTAGAGTTTGTTTCTCCCCAAACTGTCTTGAGCCTAAACTACTTTTATCTAACCAAGAAGTTGCTGAAGCAACTCTTAATAAAAGGAAGCAGATCTGATCCATCATCTGACATGGCCCATTACTGGTGGACAAGTAGCATGATGATTGTAAGATAGCCAAATAAATGACAAAGTGGAAGGGAGTTTGAAAACTAAACACAGCTGGAAGGTATGAAAGGCCTATTAGGAGACAGAGCGAGATCAAGTGACTTGCAGAAAGGAAACACAGAGGAGCTCTTAAGGTTAAAGAACCTTTAAGACAGATGGCAGAAAAAACAAGGGGTGATGTTTTGGAAGAAAAGGAGAATGAAGGCAGAGAGTACCAGCTGTTTAGTAAAGGGGAAAATATTTGACCCCAAACAAGAAAAGCTTGGTATGTCATAAATAGGGACCTAACTAATTGCAATTTTATGGATTTCACAAAATCTATGAAAAAAACCTCCAAAGAAAATAAGTGTTTATTAAGTCTTCCTCTTTTGGGTGGAGGGGAAGTGCTGGCTGGCAGGACAGCATGATGGGGACAGCAGTCAAAACACTGGCCGCCCCCTGGTCCCTTCTCCCCCCTGGGGCCTCTCTGCCAATTAGCACTGAGGGGTAGGATGACCACAAAATGCCTGTGAAATGGGCTCTTCATGCCAGGACAAAGCTGCAGAAATGGCTTTGTCTCCCTGCGAGTTAATTAGATCCCTAGTCATAAAGGAAGGTGTAAACTGGCCATGAAGTATCACCAGGGGATGCAGACAGCACTGGGCAACTGGCTAGTGAAAAGTTACCTTCATTCCTGCTGCAGCTGCAGGGCCACTGGGATCCACGGCTTGAATATGGCATGGCTTGCTCCCACGCACGACAAAACCCCACCCAACAGCATCTCCTACAATCTTGCGAAGAAAAAATTGGAAACAAGTGTGAATCCTCAAACAGTCCCCTGCAACTCAAGGGTAAAATGGTCAAAGATGCTATTCCAGCATCTTTTAGACTCCAGCTCACAAGAAATGAAGCTCTGTGGATATAGATATTTTACAGTACCCTTTACATGAGCTATTAAAATTATTATGGAGAAAGGCACCAGCTGAATGATTCCATTTGTTTCTGATATATTTTTTCACGTTACACCAGAGACATTGAACTGTAGCCCATAAAAAAACTGTGCTTCCAATTAACAGGTCCCAAACTGTAAAGGCTTTTTTCTCTTAAGAAGTCTGACTCACAGTTTTAGTGTGATAGTAGTCTAGCAGGGATATGAAATTCACATTAAAAACTAATTCTGGATGAGTAAACACAATATATCTGATCTTATACTTTAAGTTTTATAGACAAGAACAAAGTTCAGGAGGGTTTTCGTAACACAGATATAGCAAGATTTGTGCCAGTTCATATGTTAGGCTGGCATGAAGATGGTGTAAACAAAGTTGAGAAGCAGACTGCAAATATATCAAACTAATGTTAATACTGTCTTATAGTAGAGGTTTGGGAAATTTGAGTAGGGTCTAATAATACTGCCAGAAAATGTTTGCTTGAACTGTTACCCCAAATCTTATACAACTTGCATAACATGCAGCAGATAAAAGTTATGTACTGGAAACGTACTGTAAAAGTTTTTCTTACGTAAGGGGCTCCAGGCATCAAGAGCTCTTCAGCAGCCACTGGTCTCTTTAATACTGTGAAATACATAAGGGAATCCTCAAAAATGTGGTTTCCAAAGAAACTAAATTAAATAATTATTCTTCAAGACCAGTCTTACTTCATTAATACAGCTTACGGGGTTGTTTTCAGCTTAAACTGATAAAAAGCTGTAAATGTTAATTAAAAATCCCACTACAGTATACCCCTGATTATGTGAAGGATTCCAGGGATATCTGCACCCATTGGATAACCACAGCTTTGGACAGCTGGGTCACCTATGTACCTGGTGTTGATGTCTGAAATGAGAGTCCACTGAACATTAGCGTGAGCTTTGAAATTGGCTAAGTCTCTGACCTAAGTTAAGCGTGCCCACAGTTAACAGCACCTGTCCTGTCTCCTCCGCAGCGACACTCTCTTTCAAGGGTAAAACTGAAGGTTCAGTTGTTTCATTTGTATGGAATTAGAAGTCTGCAATGGCAGAAGTGAGTCATGATAAGAAATGCCAAGAAACCTGAGGGATAACACGGAAGGACTATATAAAAGTTAATGTGTTATGTGATTGATAAGTCCTCCCAATCTTAGGAGCTATTCAGTCCAAGTTTAAGGTCTAGAGAACCTAACTGTTGATCAGATGTTTTCCTCCAGGCTCGATGTGGGGCTTTGGTAGGAATGCATTTCCCCCTCCTTTTGTATAATAATGAAAGGTGGAATATGGAATATGTATTACTGCGTGTAGGGTCAAGTTATGTAAGTGTTATGTCAGTGCTCCAGACATGGTGCTTTACTGTTTACTTCTGGAATTACATAGCTATGCCATCTCCCCACTGGCACAGGGAGTACTGACAGCACTTGGACACCATGGTAAAAAGCATTCTGCCTCCAAGGAGCGGTCTGGCTGGGACTCTACATTTAAGCAAACACACACACACACACACACACACTCTCTCTCTCTCTCTCTCTCTCTCTCTCTCTCTCTCTCTCTCTCTCTCTCTCTCTCTCTCTCTCTCTCTCTCTCTCTCTCTCTCTCTCTCTCTCTCTCTCTCTCTCTCTCTCTCTCTCTCTCTCTCTCTCTCTCTCTCTCTCTCTCTCTCTCTCTCTCTCTCTCTCTCTCTCTCTCTCTCTCTCTCTCTCTCTCTCTCTCTCTCTCTCTCTCTCTCTCTCTCTCTCTCTCTCTCTCTCTCTCTCTCTCTCTCTCTCTCTCTCTCTCTCTTTTATATATATCCAGTGCCAACAGGGCTCAGAGTCTTACATATATATATGTGTGCGTGTGTGTGTGCGTGTGTGCGCGTGTGTGTGAATATATATATATATCTCCGGACTTTGTCTGGTTTCTGGATTCTGTTTCTGGTTGAAAACGGGGATGGTAGGTCCTCCACTCCATACTCTTGCCTGGGTGTATGCCTTAAAGGTCTTGGTATGATGGTCACAGGACTCTGTACAAGCGGATTAATCAGGCACCTGACTAGACCTCTTACGCGTACACCGTTATTCAGAGGATCAATGGTTGCCTGCTGCTTCTGAGGAAATCTAGTTTTCTTACATCATGAAGCAAGCAAGAATTTTTTGAGGTGGAACTTCCTATAACATTGCCATGAGTGTTTGAAGAGAAAAGACTTCTGGCATATAGACCCATACAGATTTCTTCTTCATAAAGTTAATGACAAATTTATCTCCTGAGTTAAACTTTGCAAGACCTCCAGATGCGTCTTAAATAATCATTCTCTCCTTCTGAGATCCAAGCCAGATCAGCTGCACCCTTTTCATCATCAACTGTTACTTTTGTGCTATCAGATCTCTTCCAAGGAAGTTTAGCATATTCCATTGCTTAATGTCATTTATACAGTCATACAAACCATCTACAAGGGAATCCTTCACACTGCTCCTCTAGGCAACGTCTTACCTTTAAGATAGATTTCTTTCTCCCCCTAACTGACCAAACCAGGCCCCAATATTGCTTTAAGTCTTCATTTTTCATGAATCTTACTGTAGCAAAACCATGTGGATGTTTGTTGTAGGCTCTGTCTGCCAGGGTATGTCTCTACCTCATTCCAGCCAGGGATGAGCTCAAGCACACTCCACTCATCTGCTTCTATGTGCCAAACCCAGAAATGTGGTGGTGAAGCCACTCTAGGGATATTCCCTTGCAGCCACTATCAACACCTCTGTCCCTGTTGTATCTGAGAGTGGCTGTGGGGGGATATGCCTGGAGTGGCTTCACCATATCATTTCTAAATTTGGTGCATATAGACAGGAGTGAGTGAGTGGCGTCTGCTCAGGAATATCCTTCCCTGATCATTCTGATTCTGTTACTAAGAAACAATTTCTAAAAACTCACTACAGTTCAGCAAAGGGTTAAGATAATGTCTTCTGTAACTTCTGCTTCATAACCAATAATACTCCTATTTAAGGTAAAGGAATATGGAAGAATCCATTGGATCCCAGCACCCAGGTACAACTGACACTGGTTGGCAGGAGCACCTTGCTGCAACACCTGCTTACCTATATTTTCCCTGGGAACATTCTCCATGCCCTGTGTTCACTCCCTGTAAGAATAATGTTTGTTTAGGAGCAGCACAGCACCAAGGCACTGACAGAAATCTAACAGGGTGTATTTGTTTCAGCTCAAAAATAAGTCAGCAAAGTTTGTTCACGGTGGAATTTCACCTTAAGTGAGGATTCATGTTAAACACACTTTAGGTGAGGGTGGTGTCAATCTGTTCTTCTTATTCTTCTTCCAAATGTGTTGTAATCAGCTATATTAAGATAAGCTTGTTCTCACTACTCAAGTGCTAACATGACAGATATTTCCAGAGCCATTAAAGAATGGAAATAGTGGGCATACCTAAGATAACACAAAACATTTACTGACACAAAAAATGCTGTTCTGCTTGCCCCAGTAACATTTCTAGTACAATGAAGCAAAAAGTTCACCATTTAAATTGTCATAAAAAGTTCTGGAGAGAACATCTGATAGGTGTCCTACAAAATACTGCCTTGTGGCAAGCTACAAAACAGGGCATACGCACAGCAGAGCATTTGATTTACAGCAGAGCATTGCCACTTACAAATAAAAGAATCTGAATTTGATTTTACATTTGGCAATGGAGCTGGCAATCTGGATAACTGACAGGATATATTTCTAAAAGATATATGTACTTTAGTTCAAACAGAGGTTGTCCCTAGATGCAGAGAAGAAATGGGTGAGAATCTCTGGCTTGTGTTACATGAGATATCATATTAGGCTACTATAACAGTTCCTTCTGGCCTTAAAATGTGTGAGTCTATATACATTTTTAACATGTGCCTCCAAAGATAACCTCAGATGCAGCATTAAGAAGAATCACACATTTGCCCCTCATTCTTATTATGAAAGCTGCATGATAATACACATCAATGCAAGAAAGCTTGCACTCACCAGATTTAGGATTGCATAATACTGGGGGACTGCTGCTGAGGGTAGGGCTACTGCTGAAGTATCCGCTACTGCCACAGCTGCTCATGCTGCTCCTTCTCACTGCTGACACAATCTTTATCTCCTTGGTGGGACTCACTGTACCAAGCAGGCAGAAGACACAGAGGAAGGGAATTAGTCATGATTCTTTGAGTATACTCAAACAAATACTTTGTTTGAAGTAATGTCAATAGAAGATGCTTTCCTTTATGATACTGTAATCAGACTATAATATTGCAATCAGCATCTACTTAGAACAGTTGCTAATACATTGCAGAAATTTTGTAACAAAAGTGCTTTCTCTAACTGGACTGTCTGCAGTGCTTCCATCCCTGTGCTTGTTCAGTTTAAGGAAATCCATATTTTGATATGACTATTTTTCTCCTATTTTCCCCTTTTTCTCTCCTGTTTTCTTTCTGGCTCCTGCTATATAAGGACATATATATATATAAAAGAATTCTCTCTTCCAAACCACAATATCTATTTGGGAGGTTTTCTGGATCTTTTTTATCACAATATTTTTAAAGAAAACTTTACGCTTTGGCATATAGAAAAGTGCAAAACTGAAATCCTTTATTTATAAATAGTGAAGAACACTAGAGATAAATGAGGATCTGACAGTGTAACTGGGCAGATGTCCCTTTTTATGGATAGTATAAAATACTTATTCATAGATGACAGGGTGAGCACCTTGCTTCAGATAAACCTGCCTAGCACAGAAGTGAAAGGAGCACCACACCTTTCCAGAGCAGACTTCGAGACAGTGGAATAGCTCGAGGAGTCACCTGAAAGAAAACTAGTGTGTTTTTTGTTGTCGTGGTTCTGCTTCCGCAGGCAAAATGGGCTGTCATGGCTGTCTGGCATCAAGCGGGATTTGTCAGTGAGCAGCTCCATCAGCCTCCTTCGCCGGCGGAAATTCATTCTGAACTGGTAGAGCAGGTTGCTATCCATAAAATGGTGCTTGTTGAACACTGAGGAGAAAGGAAAAAGGAGCAAGTGAAGGCTTCATATTTGGCAGAAAATGGAATAAGGAGCTAATACCTGTCCCTGGGGTTCCTGTACATATATGTATACGTCCTGCTTTGTGAGAGCAGCACTTTAGTTTCTGTTGGCTCACTGCTTGTGAGAAAAACATATTAAAGTATGCTTTGTGAATGGGAAGAGGCTGGTTCCTCTCAGTCAGAGACTAAAATTTCTGGTCCACATTCCACTTCTGAACACCAGGTTCTTAGAGAGAAGCAGCGGGACACAGTCTGCCCACACAAGAGAATTGCTTCAGCGAGAAGGGAATTCTTGACTTCCAGGACTTGTAGACCCCTTCCCTACCTCAGCTGGCCTAAGGGGTAAACATGTAGAAGGGCCATGAAGGAGCAGAGATTACCTATACCAATCCCTCACTGGCACAGAGTCGAATGAGGCCATAATGGGCATGTCTACACGTGCTATTAATGAGCTGTAAGCTTACTGCACAGTAAAATACTATGCAGTAAGCTTTCCCAGGCAGGGCATCTACGTGCACCAGTTGGGAGCAAATTTGCTCCCAAGAAGAACAGTTTAGTTCAGAGCTACTCCGGCCCTGCTGTGTCACTATACAGCAGCCAGG